GTAGGACAAGAATGGCTCAAAGCCTCAAACAACATTTGCTCAATATGGATTTTGATTTAAATTTTTAAAAGCTTGCAATTAACATAGTTTGCTCTGTACTTACCACTAATTCACAATAAGCATAATAATATTGAAGAAACCTCCTAAGAATTTCCACCAGAGATGTTTGAGTTGCATCTAAAAAGAGAAATATTCTTTCCTTTACACAAATATTAGACTGTACGAACAGTGATAAAAAATTACTTCTATTAATTTAATCAATAAATGACTAAGAATAAGACATGGAAAATAATTTCTATCTTTTTCTTAACTATCATCACAAATATAGGAAGAATACCAATCCGTGGTTGTGCCTATAACCTGATGATGAACATGTTCTCCAATATTGTTCATCAACATCTCAAGAAGCTGTAAACCTGACAAAAAATAAAGTCTTATCAATGCTTCAAAGCAAGTGGTCAGGGGGACATATATAATCCACCGCAACTAAAAGAGATCCATCAAAACAAGCAAAAAAATTATATACCCTATAAGTACTTACCAGTACTGTAAACAATTGTGTGTTTGAATCTTTACTTCCCAGGTATTCTTTATAACTTTGATAACATTTTTGGCTTGTCTGTATTACAAAAATACATAAAATAGTGATGAAATGGGTAGTGACATTCAAAAACACAGTTAATGTTAAAGTAAACAACACTAGCCTTGTCTTAAGAATTAAACTTCATTCAGTAAGACAAAAGTAACTTTAGCACCATTTTACAGACTTAAACAGCAAAAACATTTACTCCTTCAAATTCAAAACCACTATAATAGATATTGAAATTGAACATTTAGAGTACAAAATTAATAAATGAAGATATATCAACTCTTGTTAAAGTATACGTGGATCACCAGCTTACTGAGTTTCTTTTGCTTCTAGTACCAGATGCATCTAGCTAATAGAATAATAGTTAGGTGGGGCTGAATCTTCAAGTTTGATATTGACTATGTTCGAAGGAACCAACATTGAGGCTTTTTTCCTCATTCCATTTCCCATTTCGTAAAACCTGAAGTTGGAACATATTTAATGTCTCATATTTGCCACCGAAAAACCTACATTTATTCCAATGTATAGAAATATTTAAAATAAGTAATTTTGAAGCTATGAATATAAGATTATAGATTGAATTTGATAAATGAATCTTACTGAATTTTCATAATTTGTTATGGTTAGGATAAACATGGACGTAAAAAATATTCATTGTGACAGATATCTGTGACAATCTTTCGTCTGTATAAACGTATCTTCTCTGGTGAAACTGCTTTTGATAGATATCCGAAAGCGAAGCATTCAATGTATTTGAGAAGAAAAACTCCAGAATTTGGCCTAGAGAAAGTATAATTTGAAGTTAGTTTATGTTAATGTTGTAAATGTAAAATAAAATTAAATAAAAAATTAAATATTACAGTAAATTGTTGAGATGCTTACCTATTATTTTGACAAGGTAGATACGGTATGATTTCCAATTTCATGTGTTTATTTCTATGTTTTCTTAAACTTGGTTTGTCGAAAAAAATGTCTGTAGATATCAATAATGATTGTACTACAGTCAAAACTGGTTCTGCACGTAATTTAATTGCGTTCGGTGTAGGCTGCAATCATATACATGAAATTTCAACTTTTGAAAGTCGACAAGAAAAAGAAACCAAATGTTGCCTGGATATGTGGATGGAATCAATAAATAGTTGTATATTATCCACGGACGAGCAAATACATGTAATTCTCCTTTTATGTACCGTTGTAATGTATTGAAATTACTTATAAAATGGGCAGCTCTTCCTTTTATAATTGAATACCAATGAACACATTCATTCTCGAATCTAAGGTCTATGATTGCATATTCTTTAGAAAGCGGGGGAGATCTATCGTGAATAAGTCTTCTCAACAGCTTTAATTCTATATCAATATGCTAGTAAAAAAAATGTAAATTAGATATATTAATAACGGAGTAAAATTAATTATGATTACTAAAGTTGACTTACCACAATATTTATATCTTTCATTTGATTTATTATATTTATTAGCGACTGTCTTCCGTATAAATTGTCGATTTCATCTTTCCAGTATGTGCTGTATAAGAAAAAATTAAATTGTCGTCAAATAAGTAAAATACAAATTAGAATATTTAAGTTAACGAGGTTAAATTTAATATCTTACTCTGATGGATTTTGTGATATCCATTCTCTAATATTTTTGTATCTGTCGATGTTATAGTCTTCTAAAATATTAGTTGGCGTTGTTGATGGAGATTGTGTCTGTTTCTGCTTACCTTTTTTTTTCTTTCGTCGATCTTTCAACGTTTCTTGTATGTTCAGATGTTGAAGGGACTTCGAATTCAACTGGACTTGTATGAGGAGGCACATCTCGTTGTACATAGGCTACAATTATTTTCATGTGTGATTTCCAGTCGGATAACTGATTCTGCATATTTCGATTTTGTTCATCAATGTAAGACTTCGTTAAATCGAAACTAGTATCTACATAAGATTGCATGTTAGATTGTAAGCCCTGGAAGTAGTCTTGTTGGTCTTTTTGCTGATGTTCAAAAAATTGTTTCTAATTGTCAAGAATTGTCTGACAGAGAGCTTCTTGCTTTTCAAGAATTGTATGATACTGAGCTTCTTGCTTTGTTGATTCTTGAATCATATGTGTTTTTAAGCTGTCGTAGAAACCAAAGACATCTTGTCTATGTATATTGAACATCTGTTCCATATCTTGTTTAATTACATAATTTGAGCTACCAGAAGAAGTAGATTCAACTCCATTTGAAGTGTGGATAGTTCTTTCTTGTGTATGTATGTTATTTCCTGGAATTTGTTGTGTTACATTGTCCAATTCACCATTGACAATGTTGTTTAGTATATGATGTTGGTTGTCAATTGGTAGCGAAAGATTTGTACACCAGAATGTTTCCAATTCTGCTTCAGTAGGATTTAACGTTACAATTACTGTAATCTATAATTGTAATAAAATATCAGATGTATTTTTTCAAATTTATAAATAAAGAATTAAATATATATTTAATTGTATATTGAAATAAACATACCTCTTGAGCAGTCAAAATTTATCTAATAACATGTTCTGTTAATACTATTTGATGCTGGCATTTATGCATTCGTGGACATTTTAAGCTTGTACGAATACGATGACCGAATTGCCGTCCAATTTGAGGAAAAGCTTCATATATCCAATACTGAAATATAAGTAAAAAGAAATATTAAAGTTTTTATATGATTAAATTATATATAATGGGGAAAATGAAAGAAAAATATCTGGAATGCAAGCAGATGACCTGCAACGAATATTTACAGTTTGTTTGGTCATTTTGTTGTATTCTTCGTACTCTTTCAAGCTGTGATTCTTGTAATAAATTTAATATGTCTTACGTCCTCATGGATACATAAGGAACGCATCAAATTGTTCAACCATTCCAAGAGTTTTGAAATCGATCTATCTTCCAGTTAGTTTTAAAACGCATTAGACGAGCATAACTAATCCCAACTTAAATCTATCTTCTTGATCTTGACACATATGAAATACTTCAGAAAGTCTTATCATAGTAATTCTCTTTGAACCATTGAAGTATTCATCCCTAAGTCGAGTATTACTAAAATTGAGATTAACAGTAACTTCATGGCATGGTAATCCAGTGATTGGACAAAATTCTTACAGGCCAAAACGGGCTACATGATCGTGTAATTGTACCCAAATTTCGTTATTTTTACCACAATTTATAAGTCTCATTATGAACTAATGTATTAATTTGCTGCTAAATTTTTCATTTTGCTTTTTATACATACTTCCGCAAATAAATCCTTGGAATCGACTGCACAATAAAGAAGCTTGATCGTCTGCATCTATAAGTTCCATAAAATCTTTAAGATATTGATGATTTGCAAATTGAGTAATCGTAGCAGAAAAACATTGATTTAGAAATTATATGTATTCTAACGACATCTGCAAAAATTATTTAAAAAAAAAACTATTCATTAGTTAACAAATTTATTCACATACTAATCTAACATAATTTTTTAGAAGCTGGCAAATTTTTATTATTATGATGAATGATATTTTACGTACTACAACTTTATTAAAAATAAATTTAAGATTATATCTATACAACTTGAAACATTATTTTTTGTCGTTGATCTGAAACTGTATATGTATTGTGATGGAAATGATAGCTACTCAGATTTTCATATTTGAAACTTAATAGTACAATATATGCATGGAACAATATAATTTGCAATATGATTAATATACAGTTTAAATAAATAAAATTTGTGAACTTTAATAATTACGCAATATATTTGAAGAAAATGTTATACAAGAATTTATGAAATTGGAATAAGTTAATAATGAGCGGAGAAAAATAATTGTAAAAAATAATATTAAAAAAACAAAATATAACTATAAAAATAAGTAAAGTCAATTACAGGAATGAATAAAAAAAAATTCTGTGTCGACATACAAGAACAAAATTATATAATAATCATTCCAATACTTTCGAACAAAATAAATAAATTTATATAATTAAAATTCAAACAATTTATAATGAATTTGATATATAACCCGTCAATTTATATCTGTATTATTTATTTTGAGGAAATTGTAATTAATCGTATGTATTTCATAATTTTTTTATTCTGCACATGCATGTCGGCCTCATTAGTAGCTTCTGCATTTGGTGGCATAAATTAGGTTTCAAAATTGAAACTATATGTTTTCCATCCAATCTCAATTTAACTTTTACAAATTATAATTCCCAATGGTTCAGTTCAATTGCTCTTCAAGACAGGAGCAAATTCAAACAAGCGTAAACTTTATTATGTAACAATATATCATAAATGTAGTACATATGTTAGCTGGATACTATTTTAAAACATCTAAATTGGTTCATCACTTATTTAAAAAAGGAACCTTTTAAAAAATAAAAAATAAAATAAAAAAATTCACATTTTACTTAAAAGACGTTAAATTTGCTCAAAAAACACAATAAAAGGACATAAAACTTACAATTTCAGTTCATTAAACTTATTCATCAATAAAGTCACCAACAAGAATCAACAAAAAGACTGATTACGCTAATTTGTATAGAAACCCATGAGGGGACTAAACAATCTCAGAATTCTCGTACAGTTTTGGCCATGAGCCACTGTAATTTCTTCTCCAATAGAGGCAAAGAGTGAAATTTAACTGGCAAAGAGTAGAATTTAACTGGATCCCACCTTGAAGAAGCGCGGAGTCCGCGCAGCGTGGAGTGACTCCGCGCAGCGCGTTGTGCTACACTTCGACATCTTCTAAGGTGAAAAAAAAAAGAAATTAATATGCGCATGTCGTACTGTAAAACATGATTTTAGTGTGCTACCTTAAACTATCATAGGAGAACTCGACACTACAGATTTAAGCTTGAATTGCAAAAAATTTGAAGATCATTTGTATAACTTTTTAACAAAATAGTATTTATAAATAGATTATAAATTTATTTTTATCACATGAAGGTTACCTTTTTGCTGTAGTCGATCACGCAGGAAGTTTGATTAGACAGGAAACTTGCAAAATGCTTGTCAAAAAGAAAATGGTTAAAGGTGAGTAGTAGTTCAAATGTTTATGTAAATAGATGAAGGATATATGTTGGTGAGTAAATCTTGGTAGTTGAAATGTGGGGTGAGTAAATGTTGGTAGTTCAAATGTGGGAGGAGTAAATGTTAGTAGTTGGAATGTGTAAATGCAAATTGAATTTGAATATAGTTTATTTCCATTCATTTAATTAAGTATTTATGTTTTTAATGTATTCAGTATTTAAGTGGTTGTATGTGGTAGTTGCCAAAAAAAGAATAATTAAATAATTGAATGAGTAAATGTGGTAGATAGCGTTTTTAATGTTCATAGGTGGACATTAGTGAATAAATATTGATGAGTAAATGTTAGTAATTGAAATGTATATGGTTGTATGTGATTAATTGAAAAAAAAAATTATTGGTTGAATGTGGTAGATAAATTTTATAGAATATTTTGAACATAGATACATATTTTGATATACTTTTGAATGTTGATAGATAGACGTTTGTAGATAAATGTTGGTAAATAGACGTTAGAGACAAATGTAATGTAAATGTAAATCTAATTTTAATTTTAATACAGTTTATTTTAATCGATTTAAATTATATTGTATTTATGCGTTGCAATTACGTGGTCTTAATGTATTTAATGTGTTTGCTAAAAAGAGAATAGTTAAATGGTTAAAGTAAATGCAAATTTAATTTTAATATAGTTTTATTTCAATTGATATAATTAATATTGTAGTTGGAATTAAGTGTTCTTAATATATTTAATGTTGTAAAAATTTAATCAAATTTTTTTTTAATATATTGTTGTCTGAAGCATCTTGGGTAGCGCGGAGTGTTTGGAACGTGTAAATGAAAATTTCATTTTAATATAGTTTTTTTGAATTTATATAATTAATATTGTATTAAGAATTAAGTGTTCTTAATGCATTTAATGTTGTAAAAATTTAATCAAAATATTTTTTTTTAATGGTGTTGTCTGAGGCACTTTGGACAGCGCGGAGTGCTCAGCTGCTAAAGCACTCCGCCCAGCGCGGAGTGTCCTTGGGAAGCACTCCTCACAGTGCGGAGTGCTCGAAACTCCGCGCAACGCGGAGTTGCTATATGTTTGATTATTTTTTAATGTTAAACAAAAGAACACCTTTAAAATAAAATTATAGTTAACATGGCTAGGTTTTAATTTGAATTTTTTACTATCACACGAAAAACGTAATATATGTAAATGTAAATTTAATTTGAACATAATTTTTTTTAATTAGTATAGTTAATATTATACTTATGCATTAGAATTAAGTATTCTTAAAGTATTTATAATGTTGTATAAATTTAGTTATGGAATAAAAAAATCTTAAGGAAAATTTATAAAGCATCTGTGTAATTGTTAAACACGAACTGCAAAATTGAATAAATTGCTGAAGTGTTATTTGACAAAAATACAAAAATATTATAGATTAGCAAAATGGGGTCGATTACGATTTAATGGTTGAATATTTGTTGGTTATTTAATGTTTTATAAATTTAGTGATTGAATAAAAAATTGATAAACAAAACTGATAAGCATCTATGTGGTATTCAAACACAAAGAAGTTGCAAAATTTAAAAAGTTGTTGAAGTTCTGTTTAACAAAATAAAAATACAAAGATTGTTATATATTAACATAAGATGATAAATTACAATATTTACACTGAACAAAAAAAAGTTTGCAAGCAACTTACTTTCTTCATTTCAAAAGAGCAAATTATTTTTAGTTGATAGTATTTTTGCTGTGAACCTATTATTTAGTATTGCACTCCAAAAGCAGATGACGTTGCTTTTGTTTACACTGTTACTATCAACCGATACAAAAGTTCAAAAGTAATAGACTGATTTTCAAGTTTCTGGAGTTGGTTCGTCGTTCGTTTTATAGGTTTTGTGAAGATGCTTCTTTTTCGCTTCTGAAGCTGGTTGAATAACTTCGTCTGCTATTTGAAAAAGAGACCTTTTACATTTGTTGCAGTTGAGGAGACTTCAGCAGTACATGTCTTCTCTTTGCCTTTTATGTTTTTCTTGTTTAAACTTTCCTGCAGTTCAGTTGGATTGCTTTCATCTGCTGTGATAGTTGAAACATTTGTTTCATTTGTTGTAACAAAATGGTTGTTCGCAGTTATCGTTGTTAAAGAGTTTAATGCAAAGATGATTTCAAAGTGGTATTCTGGAGAGTTTTGGCGTTTCTGTGTGACCTTCAGATAAAATTGTGCTTCATTTTGACTTTCCATTTTCGTTATATTGTCCATTTCTGCATATGGTTCCTGTAGTAGAATTAATCTTTTAGAATAGTAAATGATAAAGCACTGAAGCAAATAATTTGAAACAATGCTAGAATTTTAATTTTACCTTTTCGAAATGGTTCATTATATCATTGGCAGTAGTTTCTAATAATGTTTCTGCCCATCCCCGATAATACTTGTATCCAACCATCCATATTTGTCTTCGAGGTGAATAAAAGCATTTACTCTGCAAACGAATTTTTTGTAAAGCACAACATCTATTATGTAGTTTTTCAATAAAGCATTAACATCACGTAAAAATTTAATGCCCTTGTTTGAGCCCCATTTTGGTGGATAAAATGAATTTTTAAATAGTGTAATGATAGGAAATGTGTGGTTAAAAAATAAGAAAAAGTTTTGGATTAACGTTTAATATTATTTTATTGAAGAATGTGTGGTTGAAATGATATCATAACACTGTTTAAGAATGCATTTTTTGAAAAAAAAAAAAATGGGTCTCAAACAAGGGCAATATCTTTAATATTATAAACTACCTTGGAATAGCTTTTGCATGTTCGCATTTGCATAATCGACATTTATAAACTTCTTCGAAGTCTACATTAAATGTTTTCTTGCAGTTGTTGCAAGCCATATACCAAAATTTTTTATTTTTGCAAATGATTTTCCAGTGTGCTTTGACCCAGTAAATTTTTTTTTACCAAAAGAAAAAAGAAACAATTTTATAATTAGATTGAAATAGTAAGAGGAGACAATGTCGTTTGGTAATGTTTTAATGCAGAATATGAAAAAAATATGTATTTATGTTACTCATATGCTGAATGAAATTAAAATACTGTGAGATAAAGTCCAAGTAAATCTACAATTAGTGTGAATTTGTCGTCAATTTGAAGTGATAACTTCCGCCGGCTTACAACAACAAATGACTTATTTTTTATAAGGCTGTCTAGCTTTTCTTTGTTAGCCTCCGTCCTATAGGAAATAAAAATAAAAATAGTCATAAAAATAATTGTTTCATTAATTTTTTTTATTCATTAAAGAACATATAGTTATTATTTTGAGTACCAATTTCTATAGTGTGCAACAACTAATAGATCAGAATTGATAAAGAAGGTGCTATTGACTTTGGTTGAAAGGGATTATGCCTGCAAAACGAAAAAAATAATAATTTTACGTATAATTATAATTATGTCAATATTATAAATCAATACGTACATACTATTGAACGAAGACACCTTCAGATAGTAGCCAATATAACAGGTCTTTTCAAAAGATTTTCAAGAATTGTAATACATTCTCGTTCAAAAAAATTATCACATAGGGTTAACATCACTGTCCGGCACTGTTTGTCCATCAATATAACATTCTGGAGAGTAGCTTGTGTACCATAATGAGTTTGGATAATTTGTTTCTGTCTAATGTCCACAGCTATACCTATAACATCTACAAAAAAAATTTATTTTATGTATGTCGTATATATTTAATTTTAACAGAATCATAAGAAAAATGTAGAAGGTTGTAGAATTCGTGATAATTAATTCATGCTGTACAAATCTTACTAATGTTGATATTTGTATCCATGTGTTGTTCTAATTCATCAAATGGAGTAAGTTGATACTGTGAGAAGATAAAATTCAAGTTATTCTCGTGTAATTCTTCAATTTTTGTTTTTTCTGTGATCGTCCGATTTTCTCATTAGCTGAGTTTTTAAACTGACTTTTGTTATCTTTTACTGTTGCATTGGAGACGATATATGTCTTTCCCAGTTCCAACTGGTCATTAAGTGCAATAATATTTGCGTCGTACAGTATTGCTGTAACTTGATTACTTTGTTTAACATCATAGAAGTTGGAAGTGTTTATAAAATATATAGGCATAATAAAAGTTTGAAATGATGAAAAATATTACTATTTATGTACCTCTAAATCCATGAAGACAATATTCTGATAACTAGTAGTCGAATTACGGGCAGTCTTATGTGATTGCTTCCCTATAATAACCACTTTTGCAGACCAACTAACCTCTGAAATTGCAATCTGTCAAATAAATTTATACGATCCAGCCGTCTTTGATATCTGTTAATAGCATGAAGAAGAACAAGAAGTTAGGCTAAAAATAGTTACCAAAACGAAGAAACAAATTTTTTTGAGAAATGAACAAAATACCAGTGATAAACATGAAAAGTATATTTTAAAGAGTTGATAGATATAGAAATGAAATGCATACATGAACTTCAAGTATATATGGTATTTATAGAATATCAAGAACTTCAAGATACAAAGATATTTTAGAGATATTTTGAATTTTTTAATATACACTTTGGGCACAGAAGACATATAAATAAAAGTAAAAGTAGCAATGTGAGTGTGTGACTATATAAGGTTAATTATATTGTCAGAAAGATAAACTTAAAAATAATGGTAGCTACGTGTAAGTTGAACTTACGTAATTTAATAGAAAATGAATTATAATTATATTTGTCTATTCATCGTTTAATAGAGGACGGAAGTTATAATTGTACTTGTATATTCATTTAATACAAAATATTTGCAATTAAGTCTTTTTTGTTTTTCATTCTTTCTTTATTAAAATAATACATCAAGCCACTATATTTAAATTTCTATTTTTTGTGTAGTTTCAAAGTAACTATATTTTTCATTCTCATTTTTACATAAATGAAAATTTTCTATTTTTTGTGTAGGGTACAGCTATATTTTTCATTCACATTTTTACATAAATGGGAAATGAATAAAGCCTAAATGTGTACTCCACTATTCAAATATATCTAATTTTTTAAATTAAGAATTATATTAATGAAATAAAATATTGTCAACTTAGTTAATTTTTTACACATGAACGATAGTTGTTTTGTTTTTAGTTATTTATATTTTATATTTGATTAATATAAAACTTTTAAATATTAATATTTGTAAATTGTAATTA